TGCGACAGCGGCGCGTGCGGACCCGGCTGACGCTCGCCGCCGCGCTCTACCTGCTCTTCATGGTCGGCGAGCTCGTAGGTGAGCCGCGCAGCCCGCCCGCGCGCGCCCCGGGCGGACGCCGCTAGCAGGCGCTGACCGCAGGCTGGGGTCGGGCCTCTGGGGTTCCAAAGTGCAGGGCCAGCCCGCGTGCGTTGTAAACGTCGGCCTGATAACAGATTTATCTTCCACTTCTCCGAACAGCCGGCCGTCAGTCAGAGACGGTCACGTTGTATTCGTGATGTGCCGGGTAACTTCTCTCTCTTTAAACAGATCTGATAAAACGCCACGTGCATTTTTGCCCTGTTTAAAATAGATGATTCTTATCGCCGGGCATGTTGGCACACGCCTGTTATCCCAGCACTCAGGAGGCTGAGGCGGGAGCATCACCTTGAGTTAAGAGGCCAGCCTGAACTATATGTAGCAAGACCCTGGCCCCGAAAAACATTATTCTGAAATGACTTAAACTCATAGGATTTTACGCTGTTGCTAAAGGTTATTTGAGTGCCTGCTCCACCTTTTTCACATAGGGGGATTTTGTTTTCTTTTCCTGAATCAGGGTCTTGTATGTAGTTCAGCCTGCCCTTGAACTCACTGTGTAGCCCAGGTGGGCCTGAAGCTCATGGGCAACCTTACTGCCTCAGCCTCTTGAGTGCCGGATTCACAGGCTTGCACCTCCACTGCTTTGAAGTGATAGTGAAGCAGGGTGGTAGCCGCTTCTCCTGAGCTGCGTCTCCGATGAACCGTCCTGAGGACAGAAGCTGTAGTCCACATTGAAAACGCTTGGCTTGAAGGTACGGGTAGAAAGATGACAGCATTTCCTGTCTCATTCCCTGCCGCTCCACACCGGCGTTTTCTCAGGACCCCCGGCCCCTCCCTGCTCCAAAGAACTTAGTGGTTGCTACCTCTACCTCAGCGGCTCTCAAACGTCCTGACCTCACCGTGGTGAGGAGTGCACTTCCCGTTGCAGTTTGTGTAGGCATTTGTGTGTAAATGCGTGTGAGCACACGTGTACAGGCATGTGTGTAACTGAAGCATGTGTTGAGATGGGTTCTCCTATTTTGCAGTTGTGCCCACCCACTAAAGTCATCTCATAGGTCACTTTACATGAATTGCCTTTCGAAAATCTCTTGGTTGACACCCTCCCCTTTTTTTTGAGACAGGGTCTCACAGTGTAACCCACACTGGCCTCCAGCTAGCTTGTGGAGATCCTCCTGCCTCAGCCTCCCAAGTGCTGGGATTACAGGCATGGGCCACCACGCCTAGCTGTGGTTTTTGAATTTAAAATTTGAAGGTTAAGGAACCACATTAATCATAGTTTTGTCTCTTCATATCAGCTTATAGTTTATATCACCTAAGTAAAAGTCACTTAGATATAAATGGTCTAGCCTGGGCTGTGTAGAGGTTGGAACCAGCCTGGATTACACGGTCTCAAAACAATCAAAAGCAAGGACATAATTGGCTTGATTTCACGTTGCCAAAATGTCTAATGTGAATGTTGTGTGAAAGCCACCGTGTGTATTTCCTGTGAGATACCAACTTTGTGTTCGGGTGTGGGGACGTCTTCTCAAATAGTACAGCGGTGACAGCACTCAGGTAAGCACTAAGAACATCCACAGTGTTGTATGGATGTGAAGTGTCTTCAGAGCACTTAGCAGTGAAGCATCTGTGTAGGAAGTGTGGCATCATAAAAAGTGATGCAATTTAAAGATCTAAAAGAGGAAAGAGACCTGATTTTGAATCTTGGCTTTGCCGCTAAACTTGCCCTGAAACCTTGAACAAGGTCTAGTTTTTTTCCTTCCACTCAGCGAGGGGTTTTGTTTTGGTATTTTGGAGTCAGGCTCTTGCTGTGTAGTCCAGATTGGCCACTGTGTGGCCTAGGCTGGCCTTGAACTCGGGGCAGTCCTCCTGCCTCAGCCTAGGATTACAATCATGCTCCACTGCACCCGGCTCAGCAAGCAGTTTAAATCCCTGAGAGCTGTGCTGCATGACGCAGATACAGAGTGGGAAACACAGCTGTTTCGCTGCCTGAATCATTAAATGGAAGAGGGCACTCTAATGCATAAACCCATGACTGAGTTTAAAGTTCAGAGTATCCTAAGTGCTGTAAAGGAAAAGAATAAGGCACTGCACTGTAACACCGTCACAGTTGGACGTTGCTCATCCCTGGGCCAGGTACATTTGAACCATAAAGGGCCCAGAAGGGTTATTCAGGCGAAGAGAATAACATGTACAAAGGTCCCTAAAGCCTTCTGTTCATTAAAATTAACTGGAAAGGCCAGTGTGGTTGGAATGCAGTAAGCAGGAGGAGCAGATATGCCATCTTGATCGGCCACACTGGGTGAATGTAGTTTTCATTCAGAATGCAGGGGGAGCCTACCATGTTGATGCACACCTGTGATCCCAGCACTTGGGAGGCTGAGGCAGAAGGGTCACTGAGTTGGAGGCCAGCTTGCACTACAAAGCAAGACCTTTTCTTAAAAAACTAATAAAAAGAATACAAGGGGAAGCCAGTTTTAAGCAGGAGAACATGATGGAATTTAGTCTTTTAGATTACTCTGGTTAGGGCCGGGGATATAGCTCAGCAGCACAAGCGCCCACCTGGCAAGTGCAAGGTCCTGAGTTCGATTCCCAGTACCCAAAACAAACAAACAAAACCAAGTAGATTACTTGGTTGTTAAGCCGTAAGTCGGGTGTGGTGGTGAACACTTGTAAAATCATCACTCAGAAGGCTGAGGCAGGAGGATCACTATGAGATTGAGGCCAGCCTGGAGGACATAGTGAGACCCCTATAGTGTCTCAGAAGACAAAGAAGGAAGATTACTGTGTCTGTCATGTGGGGAGTGGATTCAAGGGTGCAGGAGTGAAAACAAACTCACAATGATCCAGACAAGGGACACAGAGCAGAAGAGATGTAGAGAAGGGCCTAGCGGGGGGTCAGTCTGGGGGACACGCGGTGGGGCCCTCACCCGCGCTGGCTGCACGGGAAGGCGTCAGTATGTGGGAAGATAAGGCAGCAACATCCGGGCGTGGGCCGGCTTGTTTGGGACGCATCGGTGTGTGCGTGTGCATGTGTGCGTGCATGCACATGTGCGTGAGAGGAGGATGGCACAGGGGATGCCCAGTGGGCTGTGCAGTGTGACAGGTGCGTCTGTGGCTCAGAAGAGAAATCGAAGTAATGGCAGACGAGGGCGTGAGGCCGCAGGCAGGGAGAAGTCACCCGGGAGCCCCAGTCCTGCGGGCCAGAGGCGAGCAGGTGTCCCGGAGTCCAGAGGGGTGCAGCAGTTCCCCAAGATCCTCGGTTTCACTTCCTGTGGTTTTGTTTCTTATGTCACTTAACCACAGCCAACCACAAAGTTCTAAGTGGAATCTTCCAGAAAGAATCCGTGAAGTTGAAGTTGCACGCTCTTCTGGGTATTGTGGTGCAGTCTCCCGCTGCCGTGGCCCGCCCTGCCCGGGCGTGAGTCATTCGCTGCCAGCTGTCTCCCGGCCAGGTGCACATGGTAAACTTTGTCCCAGGTGTGTGTGGATGAGAAGAAGCGCTGTGCGTGGGGCTTGGTGCGGCCCTGGGCTGCGGGCAGCTGCCGGGCTCCTGGGTGTGTCCCTGGAGCAGCGTGGGGTCAGCTGGCACCCAAGTGGGAGAGCAGGGAAGCTCTAAAGCAGTCTGATCGGATGAGAACTGATTTGATTTTATAACTCATTTACATTGCGAATGTAAATACAGTCTCCTAAGAAAGTCGGCAGATTAAACCCATGCATCTAATTGTGCTCTATCCCAAAGCCTCCCTTAAACTGCAATGAAAGGATGTGGAAGAGGAGAAGAAAGTGCGAATCCACACAAGTGGGAAAGCCTGGTAGAGAGACTGGCTCCGTGGTGAGTCAAGGGCAGCCTCAGAACAAAGGGGCGAGAGCTCCCTGACCTCACAGACCCAGGGCCCCCAGCCTGAGCTGTGGCTGGGAACCAGGAGCGGGCTCCCGAGCTCAGAGTCGTGGCACATGTGTCAAAGCACCGTGCGTGGGGCCACCCCAGTAGTCGGATCCCCTGGCCGGCGAGAGCTGGGCGCCTGCGGGCTCCCCTGCTCAGGCGTTCCCGACTGGAGGAGCTGAGTGGGCTCCTGTGAGCGCGTGAAGACGGATCTGGAGCAAGGAAAGCTCCTTAGACCCTGCTTAGGGACCAGGCCGCTCTGGTGACAGAACTGTCCTCAGAGAGAGCCGTGCCTCCGGGAAGTTAGAAGGGGCTGCGGCACAAGCACTGCAGGGCGGAGAGCTCTGAACAGGAACTTAGTAGAACTTCCGTACCCTCATGGGAAAGCTAGGAGATGAACTAAAGTGCCCCCAGAATAGAGCAAAAAGATAGATAATACAGAAAAGTAAAAAAAACCATGAAGTTTAAAATCAAATACAGCAGTCCCTGCCTATCCACGAGGGATGAGGTATTTCCAGCATCCTGGTGAAGCCTGGAGCCGTGGGTCATACCAGACCCCAGTGCGTATGGTCCTGGTCTGTGTTCTGGTGCTGACGCAGATACCGCAGACTCAGGAATGGCTTACTTGGCTCAGAAAGTCACGGTCAGGCAGCTGCATCTGGCAGAGTGTGTGTATGTGTGTGTGCGTGTGTGCGTGTGTGTGTGTGTGTGTGTGTGTGTGTGTGTTTTGAGCCAGGGTCTTGCTATGTAGTTTGGGCTAGCCTTGAACTCACTGTGTAGTCCAAGCTGCCTTCAAGCTCTGGCACAATCCTCCTGCCTCAGCTTCTCAAGTACTAGAGTTACAGGCATGCAACACTGTGCCCGGCAGGAGAGGTCTCTGCAGAATCCCAGGCCATTCCAGGCATCCTTAGGTCTCACCTCTTGTCTTCTTCTCACTTACTTATTGAGATGAGGTCTTTCTATGTCATTCAGGCTGGCCTTGAACTCCTGTGTAGCCTAGGCTGGCCTCAAACTTGTAGCAATCCTTCTGCCTCAGCCTCCCCAGTGCTGGGATTACAAGTGCATGCCACCACAGCCAGTTTCTGTTTTTATAAAGCCATTGAATCAGGGCCCCACCTTTATGGCCTCCTTTAATCTTAACTCCCAAAGGTCAGATTAAGTTTCCATTCTGTTCCTACTCACGGTGCAGATTAATTTTAACGTGCGTTCTGGCAGGAACATGGGAACATCGCACATTAATACAGTGTTTTCCTGTCTGCTGCCAGCTATCAGAACAAGATTTCTAAGAACCACCTTTGCTCCTATTTGGAAGAACAAGTTGCTGTCCCCATCCAAGAAAATCAGTTTTTATCTTTTGCACTGAACTAAGGCACCCAGGTCCCATTTGTGGGTTTCTTCAGCTTTATTTCACATCCTGACCCTCCTGAACAAGTGAACACATCCTGTCCTTCAGCTTTGTGGAGGTGTTTAGATACTATGGTTATTAATTCACTAATCGTAGGACTCATAGAGCAGTAGAAATAGAATTGGGTTGAGCAAAAGCTGCAGTGCCAAATCATCCCTTTTCAGTTTGTTGCCAGGTCAGCAGTTCTTAAATTTTTTGTTTTGAGACAGCATCTTGCTGAGTTGCCCAGGCTGGGCTCCTACCTGAGATTCTCCTGCCTCAGCTTCCTGAGAAGCTGTGATTACAGGCTTTCCCCACTGCACCCAGGATGGATCTTAGCTTTTGGGAGAATCTGTTAGTAGAAAATGAACATTCTCGCCAGAAATTTGTCCAGGAGGCCCTCCATACCCACGGGTTCCCCAGCTCTGCATTCAACCACCTGTGCGCTGGACGTGTTTGACATAAAAATTGCACCTGCACTAACTGCAGACTTTGTGTTGTTCCTGAGCAAGGCAGTGTAATTATTTATAAAGCCTTTGTGTTGTTACAAGGTGTTACAGGTAATGAGAGGGGATTTAAAGTGTAAATGTGGGAGGACCCGTGTAGGTTACCCGTGAATACTGCACTGTGCCGTTTTATATAAGGGATTTGAGCGAGTAGAGATTTTGATACCAGGGACAGCCCTGGAGCCAGTCCCTGAAAGGCACCAGAGGGCGCCGCGCACACCAGCTTTCCATAAGCTTTCAGAACGCTGCGACTTAGCTGTAACGGGATAGACTTGGATCCCAGACACAAGGATATTGTATTCCAGTTCAGTGAAGGATGTTGTATTCTGGTTGGTGAAGGATGTTGTATTCCTTCACAAGGAATACAGACACAAGGATGTTGTATTCCGGTTGGTGAAGGATGTTGTATTCCAGTTCGGTGCTCATCCATTTGTTGCACGAACTTGAACTTGAACCTCTCCCTCCCCCTCCCCGAAGGTGGCTACATCGCCAACAGCCTGGCGGTCATGACAGATGCGCTGCACATGCTGACCGACCTCAGCGCCATCGTGCTCACCCTGCTCGCGCTGTGGCTGTCTTCCAAGTCGCCTACGAGGAGATTCACCTTCGGATTCCACCGCTTAGGTGGGTAACTGGCGTCTCATGGGTATACACTATCGCCCGGACTGAAGCCTTTCAGTGGTATCTTGTTTAACGAAGCAAATGAGAATAGATAAATGAGATTTATTCCAAAAAATGTATCTTCAGAGTTTATCCCAGTCAGTTAAACAGGCTGCACAAAGGAAGTTGATTATGTGGTGATCATTAACTTTTAAATGTTACTTCTTGTGTCCCGAAGGTATCATCATATAAAAAGTTTGCTTTTAGTTTATTGAACCAAGTGAAACCACCTGGGTTTAACTTATTAATGAGTGTTAATCTCCCTTTCATGTTAGGAGTTTCAATCAAAGCTCTGAAACTTAGATTTTAAACCTAGATTTTTAACCTCTCACACTGTGTCTGCCCTTCACTGTGTGAACAGGATTCTGCAAGGGCATTTGTTTTTATTTGCCTGTTTTGAGCAGATAGTAGTGTCCAGTACGGGTTCAAATCCTACATTGGTGTCTGCACAGCTCTGCTTCTTGTTATTACTGTACTTCTGACTTTGTACCTTTTTTTTTTTTTTTTTTTGGTCTTTTTGAGACAGGGTCTCGCTATGCGGTGCAAGCTGGCCTTGAGCTCACCTTGTAGCCCAGGCTGGTCTTGAACTCGCAATGATCCTCCTGCCTCAGCCTCCTGAGTGCTGGGATCACAGTTGTGCACCACCGCGCCCAGCCTTATTTTGAAAATTTGTACAAAACAATTACCTGAGCTATTGTATCAGTGTCAGGTGACCAGGTATCACTTACATGGAACCCAGCAGTCGGCATTTGCTTGACACTGAGCAAAACCTGTCTCACTGAACAGCTGGTGTTTATTTTACAGGGACCCTAACCCACCTCACATCCACCCGCTCCCTTGCTGTGTCTTAGCCTGCTCTCCACTCCGCCCCGGGCCTTCTCCACTGAGCGAGTCTGCCGCTGCAGAGCTCGTCTTCATCCCTCAGTAGCAAGTGGTGCCTGAGAACCTCTCGGTTATCTGGCTGGAAAGTTGTCTGTCCTCCCACCCCTCAGCAACCTTAGCTCTCCTGTCTGTCTGTCTGTCTGTCTATCTATCTACCAATCTGTCTATCTATCATTCACGGGCAGCATTTTGCTGTGCAGTTCAGGCTGTCCTTGAATTCACCTTGTAGCCCAGGCTGGCCTCAAACTGATGACGATCCTCCTGCCTCAGCCTCCTGAATGCTGGGATCACAGGTGTGCTCCACCACGGCCGTCGAACCTCCTTGATCCCCTAAGTGAGCTTGTCTTAGCGCCTGCATAATGCACATGGACGTGTTTCTAAAAGAAACCCGCTACTTCGCATATACTTTACAGTCGTCTGTTTCACCAGTAACGATGGGATTTTTTAAGCAACTTTAAATTTATTTTCATATGTTAATTTGTAGTGATTTAAGCATCTGTAATTAAAATCTGAAACTTGGTGTCATGGATGGGAATTTGGAGCCTAATAAAACCCGTGGAACTGGCCCTCCGGGAAAAGGCAACAGTAGAACATAGAAGGTGCCGTGCTTTTAAGTTAGAGTTTGTAATCGTCCCGGTTCCTTTAAGTATCAGAACGTGACCAAACAGGAGCCAAGGAGGCCCCCGAAGCAGAAACGGGGAACCTTGACTCGCCGCACCCCAGGACGGTCGCAGGCTCCTTGACTTCCATCCCAGAGAAGGAGTTTTCAGGGTGCATCATTGAGGAACAAGAGGGTTTGGCAGACGGAATTTTAAAAGTGCACGTGCGGAGAGGTAGATTGCGGGCCCTCCAGGAAGAGCAAAGGCAGCCGATGGCCTTGGGCCGGGTATTTACAGGCAGTCATCTCGGGGGCAAATCCAAAGCCCTGCAGATTCGTTCATAGATGAGAGGCTCTTTCTGCAGGAGAGGGTGGTGGCCCATTCGCCGTGACAGTGACAGCCGTCCAGGACGTAGCAGTATCCCCACCATGGGAAGTGACAGCCGTCCAGGACGTAGCGGTATCCCCGCCATGGGAAGTGACAGCCGTCCAGGACGTAGCGGTATCCCCGCCATGGGAAGTGACAGCCGTCCAGGACATAGCGGTATCCCCACCATGGGAAGTGACAGCCGTCCAGGACGTAGCGGTATCCCTGCCATTTACCTGTGAACAGGGCTGGTCTGTGCACAGGTGGAAAAGACCCCTTTGCAGGTAAAACAAGGTGCCCTGGCCCAGTTGTGTCATCAGAGACTTCAAGAATTTTGGGGTATGTGTGTCCCACGCTGGCAATTTTTAACTAAAAGTTCTGTTTTAAAATTATAATTTTTTTTCCTTGCTTCGTTTCCTCCTGTTTTATTTTTTTGTAGCCTACCTCATGTTTTCCTTAAAAGTACTGAGTTCTGAGTCCCAGTGCATGTCAGCATTTACTTCTGTCTTTCTGAGAGTCTGTAAAGATAAAAATAAAGAAGTACCGAAACACCAGAGAGAATCAACCAGATGGCTGGGTCACAGGGAATACAAAGTTTCCAGAAATCCTTGGAAGTTGGAAAGTGGATTAAAGTGAGTTCACAGAAATGAGCCAAGATGCCACAGCCCAGAACACGCCATCAGCTGGAACCTCGCTGCGAGGTGTGAGGTGCAAGGGTGGTGCTGTGGGCGGAGAGGATAATTTAGCCACCGTGGAGGCGTAGAGGAGAGTGGAGGGTGGGTGGATGTGGCGCAGGAGAGCAGCCTCGAGTCCAGGAGGGCTGCACCTGTGCGGTGCAGGACTGAGGGTTTTAGATTTGATATTAACGTGAGGCGGGCCCTGAAACAGCCCAGGTACACTGCATCGGGTCACTGCGCCCTAGCACCATCTGTCTCAGTTCTAAGGACAGCTAGGGGTCTGAGGTTGGCCACGGTGTTCTTGCCATACATGGGCCAGGCCCTTGGTGTTGCCAGAAACAGGCCTTCCACGGAGACTTAATGAACAATTATGTGAAGATTGACTAATGTCAGTGGTCGAGGGGATCAGAATAGAATGTATGTGTGGACTTGAAAGGGGCCTTCAAGGTGCTGTAGGGGTGAGGAGGGAATACAGTATTCTTTAAGTCACAGCAAGCAGTTAGTCATCTATAGGGATGTGTAGTTTACAGGGGGGGCGCTCATGATCTACCACAGACTCCTTGCCCGGCTGCAGCATGGCCTCTACAGAAACAAGTGTGGAACAGCAACCATTCCCCGGGGAACGGTATCAACCCACAGAGCTCCAAAGGTGGCTCAGAGGGGGACGGGGAGAGGGACTTGGGGCTGAGCTCAGGAGACAAATGGGGTGACTTGAAACGGGAAGCCATTCCGAATGTCTCCACGCTGCCCTGCCTCCCTTCCGGCCACATCTCACTGAGGCCTGTGTCCTCCTCCAGCTAGAACACCAAGTAGTTTGTCTGGGAAGAAACAGAATGGAATATTTGGGAAAAGCTGAGTCGTGGATCCACTAACGTATGTTATTTCTACTGGAAGTGAAGGTTCTACAGGCTTACAGCCTGCTTCCCACCCAACCACCCTAAACGAATGCGCTTGTCCTCCGGGGCCCGGTGCTGCACTCCTGTCGGTGACCCTTTAATTCCCTCGCAATCTTCAGCATTTCTCTTGTGCCTTAAAGGGTGGCTTCCCTGTCCTCCTGCACTGCCAGGAATCTCGGAGCACATGAGAACCAGCAGCAGGAAAGTAACCAAACTGAACTAACAGAAAAATTAGACCTTAGGAAGGGAGAGAGAGTGTAACAGAAGAAAAGCATTCTCAGGATAATAATGCACTAAAATATTTTGAAAAAGAAACAAAAAGCTGTTTGAAATTAAAATACTGCTAAATTTTTAAAAGATCCTTCTCTTTGACTGGAAGAATATAGTCAAGAAAGTCTCCCAGAATATAGATGCTATGGAAACAGAACATAAAAGTTAGAAAGTGTAAAAGAGTAATCTTTGGAGTCGAAAGGCCTGCTGTTAGGAACCTCAGAAAATGGAACCTCAAAATTAAGATAGAGTACAGTTCTGATATTTCTTTGTTGGTTTTCTGTCTAGTTGATCTGTCTTTTTGTGACAGTGGGGTATTGAGATCCCCCAATACAATTGTATTAGTGCTTATTTGATTTTGCATGTCCATTAGTATTTGTTTTATATAATTGGATGCACTGGCATTTGATGCATATATATTTATGATTGCTATCTCTTCCTCTTAGATTGTTCCCTTTACAAGGATCTAGTGACCTTCTTAGTCTTTCTTAATCAGTCTTGGCTTGCAATCTACTTCGTCTGCAAATAGAATAGCTGCCCCTGCTTTTTTCCAGATTCCTGTCATACAGAGTATTGTTTTCCATTCTTTGACTCTCAATCTATGAGTTTCTTTTTGAATTAAATGTGTTTCTTGTATGCAACATATTGTTGGATCTTGATTCTTGATCCATTCTGCCAGTCTGTTTCTTTTGATTGGTGAATTGAGACCATTTACATTGTGGTTATAATTGATATGTATTGAATTATCCTTATGTTCTTTTCCTGTTGTTGGGTCCCTTTTTTAACCCCCTCTGTTTGTTTGCTTTGCCTGGTGGATTCCTTCTGCTGGGGTTCATGTAGCTGTAGTCCTCATTATCTCTTTGTAGAATGTCCTTCACAGCATTTTGGAGGGTTGGTTTGGCAGTCATGAATGTCCTCAGGTATTCTTTGTCATGGAAGTATCTTATTTCTCCATCAATTTTGAAAGATAGTTTTGCAGGACATGTCAATCTGGGCTGGAGGCTATTTTCTATTAGTGCTTGAAATACTTCACTTCAAGCTGTCCTTCACTTGAAGGTTTGTGTTGAGATGTCTGCTGTGATTCTAATGGTCTTTCCTTTATAGGTGATTTGTTTCTTTTCTCTTTTAATATTCTGTTCTTGTGTTGAATTTCTGGAATCCTGATTATTATATGTGGGGGGGTAGTTTTTTTATCATGGCTAATGGAGTTCTATATGTTCACTTATCTGTATGTCAAATTCATTTTCCATGCTTGGGAAGTTTTCTGCTATTAC